CTGCCGAGGAGAGGACGCGCGGCCATCATCAAGGTGGAGGATCAAGGAAAGGGACGACGATCTGCTTCAAGCGGCCGCAGTAGTAGCTGCCTGGAACTGGGAGGCCTCGACGGCGTCGACGGAAACAAGTGTGGAGAAGGAGGCCGAGAACCTCTGCCGAGGCATGACGGCAATATGCGACAAGCCCATGCCGCGAACCACGTTGGATACCGCGCAAGGCAGAGCCGTGTATTGGTGAACTCCCGACATCGCGGAGCTGAGGGCGAGGTGTGTGACACGAAAACTTCGCGCGAAGGAACCTCTGGTAACGACGGAGATGGAACCTGCGCTGTTGCTGCAGATAATCGGGACGCCCCCTCGCCGCAAGAGGACAGTGCGGCAAAACAGTCGCGGCAAACAACACAAACCGTAAAATGGACAGATGACTGGGAAGTCACGGAGGAAAAGCTGTGGGAGACGACCAGAAGAATGGCCTACGCGACGCGGCGCCAGGCCCGGATGGAATCCTGGGCCGGATCTGAGGGGAAGTGATGGGGGCCATGACTCCCAAACTTCGTGTAATAGTGAAGCGTGCCTAGCCTATATGTATCGCATGCTTGAGATAGCTAGTCATGTCGATATGGAAAAAGATGTAAAAGTTGAATACATTATAGACGGGATAATAGACGAGGAAGCAAATAAGCCTATGTTGTACGACGTTGCATCCATTAATGAGTTAAGAAAATGGTTGATCGCGTACGAGGAGCAGAAGGGTCGTAGAGTAAAATCGATTGCGAAACCGGCCAAAACCAAGAAAAACATAAAGCCCAGTCGATCTGGAGATGTGAAGAAGACGCGATGCTATAACTGCGGCGACAAGGAACACGTCTGTGCAGAGTGTTCGAACAGGTCAAGAGGGCCGAAATGTTTTAAGTGTAGAGGGTATAGACACATTGCATCGAAGTGCAACAGTCTGGGTAAGTCCTCTAAAGAAGTTTATAATGCGCGGAATTTGTTGCGGGCGAGTTGTAAAAGTGTTAGAATCGGAAATTTCGAACTGAGCGCGCTGATAGACACCGGTAGTGAACTGACTTTAATGCAAGCAGATCTGCATGCTAAAATCAAAGCGCCCAGATTAAGTCCGAAAATCATTGGATTTCGCGGTGTCGGTTCTGGAAGAAATCTTACGCTCGGGAAATTTTCGACAAATATTGTAATAGACGATGAGTCGTATTGCATAACGATACATGTAATTCCGAACACTATGATGCAACGTCCGTTGTTAATAGGTACAGACGTCCTAGATACCGTCGAGATAAGTATAAAGAAGGGGGACATCTCCATTCGTAGAATAAAAGATGTAAATTCCGATGAGTTTCCGGAGGACCTTAAAATAGACGTAGAGACGGTGGTGCGTGAGATAAATTTGTCCCATGTCAAAAACATGCAACATAAGCAGGCAGTAGAGAATTTGTTCCGAGATTATAGGCCACAGAGAATGCGCGAAGTAGGAATCGAGATGAACATAATACTGCAGGACGATCTTCCAGTTTACGAAAGGCCGCAAAGACTAACTCCACAAGACAAGGTCGAAGTCGATAAACAGATCAAAATGTGGCTGGAAGACGAAATAATACGCCAGTCACATTCCGATTATGCCAGTCCGATCAAGCTGGTCAAAGAGAAAAATGGCTCGATTAGAATTTGCGTCGATGATAGACAATTAAATCGAAAGGTAGTAGAAGACAGATACCAACTGTCCTTGGTCGAAGACCAATTAGATTCATTGCAGGGCTCGAGGGTATTCAGTACGTTAGATCTTAAGAACGGATTCTTTCATGTTCCTGTTGGGGAAAGTAACAGAAAATATACGGCGTTCGTAGTCCCCACGGACCAGTATGAATTCCTTAAGATGCTGTTTGGATTATGCAATTCACCAACCGTTTTTAAGAAGTTCATAAATGCGGTTTTTAAAGAGTTGATCGCGACGGGGGTTGTGCTGACGTATATGGACGATATAATTGTGCCGTCGACTGACCTCTCGAGTGGAATAGAAAAGCTAAAATCGGTGCTGCATGTCGCTAGCGAACACGGACTATTCGTGAACTGTAGTAAGTGTC